TAGTAATAGTAGATGCTATAACCAGGTATAGTGACTCACATGTGCAATTTCAGCACTTGAGAGGCTGAAGCAGGAGGATTGCTGCAATTCTGAGGCCAGACTGGGCTACACAGATAATTGCAGGCAAATCTGTCCAAAAAAAAAAAAAAGTGCATATAAGTATTATGTCTTATTTTGAGACACAGATTTATTGGCAACAAATATTAATTTTGAATATTGCTTACAGGCCTAGCTGACTTTCATTATGTTGACAGTCCCCAGACATGGGTTGACAGTTGAATAATGCTTGGAAAAGGCAAATGTGGTCATGTATAGAACCCACTTTCTTAAAGCCTGCAGTGTAGACCCAAAGGCCATCATTTAGCAAGCTACTACAAGAGTTCTGGCCTATGAAGACATAAGTTAAGCAAGGATTAGTTTGGGCACTGAAAGATCACTATCATTTATAGTTTAGAATCCCACAAGCAGCAACTAAGCAACTTAAAGATGAGAGTATTGTGGCCTTTATCTGATGCGTATTAAAGCAGGCAGCTAGATGAAGCACAATCACCATTTGAAAGTCTTCTGTTGGAAAGTCAGGCCTTCTGAATGTTGCTTTTGGTTTCTCTATCTCTATGTTGAAGGTACTAAAAAGGAAACTACAGGAAGAGGCAGTTTCATTTAACAGCTTAACAGTACTGTGTTTAATAGGCCAGGCTGCTTTCACACATGCCAGCTGCCAGGATGAAAGTTGTCTCTTCTACACCCTCAGATTAAAGAAAGAAGCTTTGGGTAGAAGAACTGTGCCTCCTCTGAACTGTAGTGGACTACAAGCTTCAGAAATACCCAGTCTTCTGAGGGCTGAGCCCAACCATGCTTCAGCTTCAGCATCAGGAACGAAGGACACAAGGGGAAAGTAGGTTTCCAATCTTCAAAGGCAAAGCCTACTTCTCCCAGCTCTAGATGTTGGTTCACTTCCTCCTGCTAGCCTCTCTGGCCTCTCCTAGCCCTGAGGTTCACCTTCTCCCGGGTCTCTAATCTTGATCATCAGGCAGATACAGGCAAAAAGTCAGCCTTATCTACGAAAAGTTTCTTGTACATTCTGGTTTTCAGAAATTACGACGGAATTGCGTAGTCGTGACATTCCAGTACTTGCTAGGAACTCAAAAGGAAGATATGTGTAAAATAAAGACCAAATCAGATCAGATAGGACTATGACCGATAGCCTGGAAAGAAAGTTAATTCCTTGCAAATGTTCCTCTCACCAGTACTGTTCGGATCTAGATTGTGTTGAGGGGGGAGAGGGGAGCACGACTTTTACTGCAAAAAAAAAAAAAAAAAAAGAAAAAGAAAAGAAAGAAATACTCAAAAGGCACTCTGCAAACACTCTAACTCTACCAATATTTCAACAGGAGATTGACTGCCAATTTTCCAAGATTCTGAAATGTAAATAGATAGAAGAACTTGGTTTGGGTTCCTTTTTTCATTAAATGCTTAATCGCTTAGCTCATTTTCATAAACTGAATTCTGTCTCAACTTATTCCTTAGGAAAGCTAACGTTCTTGAGAGATCAAAACCAACTTTCTCACACAATCAGGACAAAAAAAAAAAAAGTCACACAACATAATTCAGTAGGTTTAGCACTTTGAACTCATATCTCCATATTTTGTTATTTCAAAACAACTATCACAAAGGTGGAACTTAGAGGCAGGCAATTCCCAGTGAGGCCAGCCTGAGCTACAAAATCAATTAGCAGGGTTACACAGTGAGGCTGTGTCTCAAAAAAAAAAAAAAAAAAAAAAAAAAAGTTTGTTGTTTTGGTTTTTTTTTTTTTTTTTATTTAAAAAGAACAAGAAAAGGAGGAGGAAGAAAAGGAAGAAGAAGCAAAAAGAGAAAATAAAACAAGCAAGTCCCATGAGGCATAGTCCTGGCTGGTCTAGAACCTCCAGGGCACCAGGGAGGCCTCAAACTCAGAAAGCAAGCATGTACAACCATGCTAGGAATCAAGCTCTGGGCTTGGTGCATGCCAGGTAAGCACTATGTATGTCCTTGCCTTCCTTTTTCTTTTATATATTTCTTTTCCTATCTTTCTCCATCTTCTACCTCCCCTTTTTTCTTTCCTTTCTTCTTTCTTTTTATTTTTTTCTTTTTTTTTTTTTTAATTATTTTTTTGTTGAGAGTTGGGGGGGGGCTGTTTGTTTGTTTGTTTTGCTTTTGTTCAAGACAGAGTTTCTCTGTATTGCTTTGGAACTTGTCCTGGAACTGGCTCTGTAAACCAGCCTGACCTCAAACTCAGAAAGATCTACCTGGCTCTGCCTCCCAAGTGCTGGGATTACAGGCATGTGCCACCAACACTTGACTTCTTTCTTCCTTTTCCGTGAATGGAGAGATAGTGCTAGGGACCAAATCAAGGTCTCTTGCATGCTAGGCAAGAATTCTACATCTTAAAACATTCATTTCTGAATATCCAGATAATACAGTTATTTGGAGACTTACTAAATTCAAAATGACAACTTTAAATAGAAAACTTAAGAGAAATGTATTTATTTCTAGACTCCTCCCTATTAATCAGGATAAGCTCAAAACTTTAATAAAGTCCCAGCCTATTTTTTGATAGAAGCCCTTAAAACTGTTGATTCTCTTTAGACATAAAGAGAGGAATTAAATACAAAATTTAAAATGAAGCTTCCATGTGCATGATTAATTTACCACTCACACGTCAATCTCCCTGTTTCCTTGCAGGCAAAACCCTCTCATTTGGAAGGCATTCTTAAGAGCTGTTTCTCACCAGGAGATGTCAATTGAACTCTCACAGAAAACCTGAAAGACTTTAAAAGGAAAAAAGCAAAGGGTGCATTCTGGAGCACTTCTAATCACAGTAATTCAGCCCCAATGGGAATCCATCATTCCAGATACACTTGCAATCTGCAGTTCTCCTCCCTAAGACCCCAGAAAAACTTAAATTCTAACCTGACACAATAATACCAACCAGTAACTTCATTTCAGTAAAAGCACAGGGGTAATAACTAGGGAGGGGGGGAAGATTTTCCAGGTCAAAGTGAAACATAAAAGAACTCAGTGCTGAGAGAAGAATTAACAAATGTGTAGCCTACCAAATCCTGAGGTAGCTGACTCCCTAAACAATAGGAAGAATCAGCAGAACACGCAAAGGCCTCATACCCAGAGATTCCTAAGAAATAAATTCACCAGGACAGCCAAAGCTACACAGAGGAGAAACCCTGTCTCAATGTGGTGGGGGGGGGGACCTTTCAGAATCAATAGAGGGTAATTATCAAAATAACTTCAGAATCAATTTACCCAACCCCTGTCCTAAGATGCACCATCGTATCCCACCCTGAGGTGGAAGGCTGCAAAGGCTTGCAGGTTGGAGCTCTCTACCTCGAGGCCCAAGGAAGAGCCTCCACCCCACACCTAGCTCTACTTCACTAAAAAAATGTCAGGTTAGTGAAGGCGAGGAAACAAAACAAAAATAAAAATCTAGGGTCTTAAAACCAAAAGTCACCTTAATAATAGTGATAAAAGTCCCCACCCCTACTCTAAAAAAGTTGAGTGAAGGGCAGTAGAGAAGCAAGACCTGAATATTTGAAACTCTACTCAGTTTTCAAAGCACTGCCTCCTCCTTTGGGTACTTCCAAAACAAGCCTTCCATGTGGCTGCTTTAGGGTGACTAGTGACCTGAAAGTACGACATGAAGGCCAAGATGAGTTGCTGAAACCTAGCCTAAGGAGGGCTGTAAATTACCCGCGGCACACCATGTACGAAGCCAGAAGGTGATGGAATGGGCTGGATAAACATGAGGCGTTTTATTGCTGGCCAGAAATTCTTCCTTCATTCATCAAAATGGGTGAATGAAAATATTAAGAAGTAGGGATGGCATTTTCATGGGCTGCTTACGAGAATCCTTCTAAAGGAAAAACCTTACTCAGTCTGCTCTGGATATCAAATACAGCCTCCTCTCAGGCAAGGGGAAAAATTTCCCCTTCTTACAAAAAAGGTTGCACAAATCTTGGCAAATGAGATGTTACATAAATCCCTAGTTTTCCTAAATATGTATGTTAACATTCATGCACCACAAACCTTTTAGGACATCTAAGTTTTTGACCTCCCCCCCCTCCCAACACACACTTTTTCAACTCAAGAAAGAGTCAAAATACATAATAACAGGTATTCCTAAGGATCTTGTCCACTCCACTTGGACGATATTTCCCAACAGTTAGATTCAGGAGATTTAGTAAGATGCATACAAACGCATTTAAACAGCAGCACACTTAACTTTAATTGAGTCAAAAAAGAACAATTACCTACCACGGGGTGGGGGTGGTTAATAACAACCCATCCTGAAAATTGTTATTATTTTCTCAGGGATTTGTAAAGCTACCCTTTCATTCTATAAACTGGCTAATTCCTCAACATCTTACTTTGCCTTTAAAAGGCTTTCTTCCACAGGACGACGGGATTTCCCTCAGAAATTTTCCCAGAGGATGATTCCCACCAATAGTCTTTATCAGCTTAGCCTGCGCAAGCAAAGACTTGGCTTCTGCTAATTCCAAACATACAACACACACACACAAACACACAAACACACACACACACACTCACTTCTTGGGGACGGAGGGAGGTGAGTTCACACTCTCAAAACCATCCCAGCCAACTCGAAAGGGTATTTTATTGGCACGTTTTCTTGCCTCTTTCTCCTGAAAGAATGCTTTTCCAACTGACCTTTCAAAAACTGCGGAGATCGCACGATCTCTAAGATTCAGCTGGAAACTAGAGGCTATTTTAGCATCTTAATTCGTCCCTGCAAACACACACACACACACACACACACACACACACACACACACACACAATGTTTGTTTGCAGACAGATCTCCGAGCTGGACCGCTCGCACCAACTCACGGCAAGCATCCAAGCACCTTCGCACGCCCGTTGCCCACTCGACACCCGCAACCCGGCCCGCGGCGAATGGGCCATGCACACACCGGACCACCCGAGCTTACCTTCCCGGGCTTTCAGCAACACCGTGTTGGCCACGATGTTTTCCAGCTCCATTGACAGTCGGCAGTCAGCGAGGGAGCCGGCCGGCGGGGCTGTCAGCGCCTGGGGTGATGCCGCTGCCGCTGCTCGGGCTGGCTCCGCTAATGCCAGAGCCGGGAGCAAGCAGCCCGCCTTGCTACCGCATTATTCTTGCTCGGAGCCCGCGGAGTTTCCCCCTCTGCACCGAGGAGCAGCCGACGCCGCTTCTTCCTCCCTCTGTGTCCCCCCTCCCCCCTCCCTCAACACTCTCCCCCCCACCCCCCACCCTCCGCGCGTCTCTGTCACTCCATTCTCCTCCCCTCCGGCTCCCGCGGATGCTTTAATGCCTCGGATGCCTCAGCCTCCCCTCGTTCCCCTCCCGGGGGTGTGGTACTCCAGGCTGGAGCCCGGACCGCGCAGACGCCTGCTCGGAGGCACCTCCCACCGCACTCTCGGGGCGCAGGACGGCTGGGAGTTGTAGTCCGGGTCCTGCCGAGGCGGGGGCGCTTCTGAGCGGGGGCTGTGGGGCGGGAGTGCGGCCGAGATGGCGCTGAGCCCAGGCAGCCCAGCCTTGCCGGCAGGAGAGTCACAGACGACTCAGCCGACGCGGAGTGGAAAGTCTCTGCCCGCCAAGATCCCAGAAAGCGGAGAGCGAGCACAAGCCACGGCGGCGGACGCTGGTGTGGGAGGCCCAGGTGCGAACTGAGACCCGGCGAAGGCGCGCCCCTGGGGTCCCGCGCTGCCTCGGTCCGCCGCTCACACGCGCCAGGTCGCTGACAAAGGTGCACTTTGTTTCCGGGCAGGAAGGGGTTCGCCAGCCCGGGCGACCCGGCGGTGCCCCGTCCCTGGATGCGTGGTCTGAGCGCCCCCTGGCGGCGGCGTGTCTAAGCCAATCAAACCGCCGGCGCCTGGGATTCCCGGGATCCCCGCGTGCGGAGGAGCAGCTTTTGCAAACCCGCGGGGCCCGCAACTCCACGATTCTCTGTGTAACCAAATTCATCGTGTTCGAGTTACTAAAAACATGTCAGGAACCGTGTGAGGCCGCTGTGGGAGTAACAAGCCAGGCCAGCGCCGAGCCGGCGTGGAAAAGTATTTAAATTCCAGGCTTGTTTGTCTTGGAGCACTTGGCTCTTTACACTAAGAAAGCCGGACTCCAGATGTGGTCCCAGCTCCTCTCCGCCCAAAGGCCCCCGAATCCTGGGAAACAGGCTCACGGTCACCTGGGGTCTTGCGAGGAGAAAGCTACGGACTGGAGGCGGGGCTGCCAAGCCCCAGGGAACAATGAGGCCTTTGCCTCCTCTGGGCCTTGAGGGCCGGATATCCGTTCTGAAACCAGGTCTGAGGCTTCTGTGTCCAAAAGAAGGAAAAACTGTCTGTCCCCAGAGCTGCCAGGAAGTAGTAGGGAGGTGCCGAGAGAAATGGAGAACAGTCATTAAGCACTGGAAAATACAAAGGAACTAACGGCGTTTCCAGAATGTGGTCACCCTACTAATGCTGGTTCTAACAGCCCGTGATAGTCTTCTTTCCTGAAGGGTAAAACTGCCACCACCACTTCCTAGTGTCTGGATTTGGGTCAGGGGGCCTCGATTGTCAGAAGGCAGGAGTTGAGCAAACAACATGAGCACCAAGTGCTACAGGAATTACTGTTCTATGCTACCTAAGCTTGTCATTGCTACATACTCTCATATCCATAACCCTAACTGATGAAAGGATCTCTCTCAAAAAGAAGAGAAACTTAAAAGTGGGCATCACTGTAGAGCCCAACTACAGTGGCTATTTGTCAGGAACCTAGGCCTAATGCAACCCAATGCTTGATTATTTCAATGACATTTTTTCACTATTTTTTTTTTTTTAATGGGGTCTCACAATACCCAGGCTGGCCTGGAACTCCTAGTCTTGCTGCCTGGATCAACATTTTGGTTTGGTTTGGTTTGGTTTTTGTTTTGTTTATCAGATAGCTTATTTGTGTAACCCTGACTGTCCTAGAAATAGCTCTGTAAACCAGGCTGGCCTTGAATTAACAGAGATCTGCCTACCATTACTTCCCAAGTACTGGGAATAAAGGTGTGTGTCACCACTGCCTGGCTCCATAACACTTTTTAAGAAATAATTTGAATGCTTTCTGTCTGTGCTCACAAACTTCCTGTGCTTACGGGTCCTAGAGATCTTTTAACAGTGCAGATTCTGATTAAAATTTGGATATGGGTCTATCGCAGAGTCTGAAATTCTGCTTCTAACAGACTCCAGTGTTCTGTCAGTCCTGCAAGAAAATAGACCTCTTGAGTAGCAAAGCTCTGGTAACTGTAAACCCCTCCACTCTCTCCTCTCTTACATCCAGCCCAAGTCAGTAGGGGTTTTACCTGTGGTAGATAGAAACACTCCTGTTTGCAACTCTGTAAAGCCCTGCCTGTCTCCATTTTGTAGATATGAAACAGATCCATCAAGAGCAAGTCCCAGTAGACACACCAAATAGGTCTTACTTAGCCTGCCCAGTTCTCTGTCCACTACAGGGTGATGCAACCTTCCTACAAAATAAATGGTTATAGGTCAAGTTATCTGTGCCTCTGTGAGGAAATTAGGACATTCCAATGCAAGAATGGAACAATGATAGCATTTACCCAGTGGGTGATCAGGCCTGTGCTAGCTATTTGACATGATTATCAACTTGAACACAACATCCGGATGAGATAGGAAACACAGCTGAGGTTTTATTATTTGCCTGGATTACACACTAGTAAATAAAAGTCCTAGAATTCGAACCTGACAGACAGATCAGAGTTTATGCATTGATCTCTGCCCTGCACAGGCTGGACACTACAACTTGGTTCTGAACATTCTTTTTGTTGTTGTTGCCAGAGTGAACTTGTAAGAAGACAGAGCAGGGAGTTGACTAAATGGTTAAGACTTTAGGGAGTTTTCTATTCCCATCCATAATTCCACTGGGATCATTTCATTACTTCCAGTTAGCTGCAATAATAACTCAAAGTCCCCTTGAAAGATTGGTTTGTTTTTTGAGAAAAAGTCATCTATTAAGTTTCAATGACTAATTAAGGAATTGTTGACAGCCAATTGAGAGCAAGAATGGAAACCCAAATGAGGTTCCTGTGAGGATGCAAGGAATGGGAAAGACAAAAATGGACAAACGGACACAGGATCGTCTGCTCTGGAAATGTAAAAGAAACAGGGACTCGTCTTATTCCAGGGGCACCCCTGCCTCCCATGGATAAAGCTGTTAGGTTAGAGTTTTTGTAAACAGAAATCTGCTATTCTGGAAGACCACAATCTATCTTCATTCTAAAGTATACATTCCTTGGGCCTCAATAATTACATAGGCTTTCTGGATCCTACTAGAGTTGAAATCCTCATCCTTATGGCCTCTCAACTTTCAGGTCCTCAAGAAACAGCTGGAACTAGAAATTCCATTTTTTAGTCTCTTTCAGTGTTTACTAATTTGCCAAGCACTGCAGGAAGTACAGGCAACTTCCTTCGACAGCAGGAAAGCAAGTTGGGCTACAAACTCTGTGGAGTAAGATTGCTGGGCAATGGTAGCACGTGCCTTTAATCCCAACACTCCGGAGGCAGAGGCAGGCAGATCACTATGAGTTCAAGGCCAGCTTGGTCAATAGAGTAAGTTCTAGGACAACCAGGGCTACACAGAGAAACCCTGTCTTGAAAAAAGAAAAAAGGAAAAAAAAAAAAAAAAAAAAAAAAAAAGCCCAGATTCTTGCACTGTGAGGCAAGCACTCTACCATCTGAGCTACAATACTCTGTCCTCACTGGGAGATATGGTGATAAATCATAATATCTTAGTAACTAGGGGCAGCCTTGAAACATGAATAAGAAACTTCCTTATGATTTTCATCAGTAAATATTTGGTTTATATAATTGATTTATATGCCTTTATTCCTATGTTACCTAAAGATTTCTTGGGCAAAAAGGAGCCAAGCGGAAAAGTGTTAAGAAGCACCAATATTGATAAGTTTCTGCTCTCTGAGTCCAGAAGGGTAGTAGTTAAATCGTGCTCAGTAGCTATCTAAATCCCTACCTCCCTGTGGATCAGGCTTTAATGGAGAAGGGTGGGCTGCACTGGCCTCCCAATCCAATGTTATAGAAATGCCTGTATTTTCTAGAAAGTCAAAGCCGGTCTCTGTTCAGACTCAGAACTTAGTATCTGTTAACAAATAAATTGAATTGAAATGTATCACAATTCTCCCAATTTTGAGGAGAGGCCACAATCCCAAAGGTTTACAAACACATTAAACTTTGATGTCTCTAAGTTACTTAGCATATTGAAAAACTCAACAACTAAATTCATTCCATTTAATGCAGAAGCCAGAAGACTATCTCAGGTAGAAAGGGAACTGGATTCTCTCACAGAAAGTTTCCACCCCACAAAGTTAAGAAAACAAAATCAACAGGAAATGTGGAAATAAGTATCTGCTTCATAGCTTTCATAAGATCATTATAGGTTGGTACAACAAATAGGAAAACAAGCATGCAGCTACTCTGGAGGCTAAATCGGATTGTGGCCCTGAGCAGGAAGGGGTGCTTCTCCGCTCTCTAAGCCACGCCCCTCCCGCCTCGGCCCCGCCCCGTAAGCCCATCCTTGCTCACGAGGTCCGGCCCGGCTCAGAAACCACGCCTTACGCAGAAGACACACACCCAGCGTGGACCAGCTGCTCGCTGGTTTCTCCCTTGCCTCCCGCGTGCACCGAAGATGGCGGCCGCTGCGGGAAGGTTTCTCTGGTCCTCGGTGAGTGGCTGCCAGCTGGGCAGACGCATGACACAGCTGCTTTCTGGCCCGGATCGCGCCCTCCTGGGTCTGCTGGCCACTAACCAACCGGTCTAGGAGGGAGCCCTCAGCTCTTGCACCGAAGAAAGGCCTCCTGCGGCCCGCAAGGCCCCAGGGCCTGCGCAGGACAGCCTATTCCCTAGCCACAGCGGGTGTGCGCTCCCGGAGTCTTTGCAAACTCTCAGACTCTGAGCTCTCGGAGTCGAGGGTCCCCTTGTTGCTTCTGCACTTACTAAAGCACCCAGCGCTGTCTTTGTAGGTCCGCTTATTGGGTCCCGTATTCTAAAGTCTGTCACCAAATATGACCTTGGGCAAGTGACTTCTATCTCCCTCACTTCCTCCCTCTATCCCCCCCCCCCCGCAGGCTTATCTGTGTAGCCCTGGCTGCCCTAGAACCCGCTCTATAGACCACGAATTCATAGAGACCAGCTTGCCTCTTCCTCCCGAGTGCTGGGATGAAAGGTGTGCACCACCAATGCCTGGCTTGAATTCTCATTTCTGAAACTGTTTGCTTTCCTTTCTTTACCATGGAAGGGGTGATGCCACATCTTGACGTGGCCATGGGCTCACACTTAAATCTACGTGTGAACAAAGTTCCACAGTAACCGGAGCCGCTTCCTGCTCTCACGCGCAGGCTGGACTCTGCCCTGTTACCTGCTTTTCTCTGGTGGCTGCAGCCTGCTATCTTGCCAACCGTCTCCCTTCTTTCTCATCGTGGGGCTCAGGGCATCACCTACCTCCTCCACGAGCCGTCCTGGACATCAAAGTTGAGCAAACACTTCCCAGGGTATGAGCTTTGCCCTATTCCTTTGCTCGACTGAGAGCCTGGAAGGGACTTTTTCTGAGAAAAACCTTGAGATTGGGGGCAGGGGGGCTTAGCTAACTACTCAGCCTGGCCCAGCCTTCCTGAATTTTTGGAGTCATCTGTAGATTTTTAATCTTGAAGCCCTGCTCTTACAATACTATCAGCTTTTCAGTCTTTAAGGAAGAAGAAAGAAAAAGGGACTTTGCTTTTCATTTGATTTGGTATTTGTTTCACAGGGCAAACCGACAGCTGAGGCCACCATTGACAAAGGGCCACAGCAGCAAGGTCAGATGTTAGTTTCCCTTCCAGAAAGTCTTCCTAATAGAAAGCATTTCTCTTTCCAGGTTGCTCAGCATGTGAGTGCCATTTCCCGGGGTATTTCTGCCTCAGCGTTTCTTAGGCCTGTTGCTTCTAGAAGAACCTGCTTGTCAGACGTAGTGTGGTCTGCCTCTGCCCAAACAAAGTTTGCCTTTAGCACCAGTAAGTATTACTGTGTTTGTAGTTGCAACCAGGCAAAGGGACCTTGACTATGCATGAGATTTGTCTTCAGAGCTTTAATAATGAAGTATGAGACTATATAGAGATAACCAGATTCATAAGGAATTGTTTGGGAACAGTGAATATTTGGCAGTGTCAGACATTTAATATCTACTCTTAAAGAGCATGAAGAAAATGAGTGCAGGCTGGTGGTGTTGGCACACGCCTTTAATCCCACCACTCAGGCAGAGGCAAATGGATCTCTGAATTCAAGACCAGGCTGGCCTATAGAGGAAGTTTCAGGACAGCCAGGACTATAGAGAGAAACCCTGTCTCAGTGGATTAAAAAAAGAAAATGGAGAAAGCCAGACAAAGCAGTACACATTTGAAATTCCAGGACTTAGGTAGCTGAGGCAGGAGGCTAGAGTATCAACACAAGTTCTAGGCTAGCCTGAGCTATATAATTAGTGCCTTCTTGATGTGAGACCCTGCCTGTAAACAAAACAAACAAAACAGAAAGGAAGAAAGAGGGGAAAAGGAAAATGGAGAAAACTATAATCTAGGAAAAGGAAAGCGTTTGTATAATATACTTAATAAAGGATATTCCTCTAAGATACTAAATTATAACAACTCAGTAATAAGAAGACCACTGGATAAAATGAATACATAGAACACCACTAAGCTATACCTGTACCCCACCCCAGCTTTGAAACATGCCCTGCATCTGTTCTTGATGTTCTTTCTACCACACCTCAGCGCCTCTCACTGAGATAACTATGGGCATTGCCTTACATCAGTCTTACCCTCCTGATAGCCTAATCTTCCTGAAAACAGCTGTCTTTCTGCATCAGAACCTCCCAGGCTCCTTTCTACTGAGGTGAAGAGCCAACCCTGCTGCTTGATAGCTATGGTTTTTTTGTTTGCTTGTTTGTTTTGTTTTGTTTTGGGGTTTTTGTTTGTTTTCTTTTCTTTTAGGTTGGTTGATTGGTTTTTCGAGACAGGGTTTCTCTGTGTAGCCCTGGCTGTCCTGGAACTCAGAGCTCTGCCTGTCTCTGCCTCCCAAGTGCTGGGAATAAAGCTGTGACCCACCCTTCAAATCCTACTGAGGGTCTTTTTAAGCCTGGTTCTGACTTTGCTTTCTTTTGCCTTTCTGTTTTTCGTTCTTTTTAAGAATTCTCTTCAGGGCTTGAATGATAGCTAAATTGGTCAGTAAACTAGCACAAAGGCCCAAGTTTGATCTTCAAACCCACATATAAGGAGACATAGTAGTATGCACGTGGTATTATGTCCAGCTAGCCTACTTGGTAAACTCTAAGTTTATGATACTCTAAAAGAGAGAAAAGGTTTTTTAAAAATAAAAAGGGGTAGAAGGATCAGTACTATAGGGAGTCTTCTATCACAGACTTCTCCCTACCACTGAGTTGGATTTGTGTTTAATTTAGAACTGTGCTGAAGGGAAAATTACTATACCTAAGGTGTACAATTAAAGTGAACCATCTCACTGAGTTATTAATAACATATCACCAATCATGATAAATAATAAATTTATTTGATAAGTTTCAACAAAAGGAGTTTAAATATAATCATGGGTGCTTGATATGGTGGATAACAGGCTACATACAGATGTGTGGTCTTTTTTAGGTTCCTCATTCCACACCCCGGCTGTCACCCAGCATGCACCCTATTTTAAGGGTACTGCTGTTGTCAATGGAGAGTTCAAAGAGCTGAGTCTTGAAGACTTTAAGGGAAAATACTTGGTGCTTTTCTTCTACCCTTTGGATTTGTAAGTGTGATTCTATAGTGCTTTATGCCCTGAGAGCTGATATTGGTTTCTAACCTATGATGAAATTCCTCTTCTTGTGAAAAGGAAGATTCTTTCTGATTATTGTCCACTGGCCTTGGCTATCTGTCACTCATGTGATGAGTGTAATGGGAGAAAATGACCTTACTTCTAATGGAGGAGTTTTAATATGGTCCTGTTAGTTTTTCTGGTGGTCCTGGGGATCAAACTCCAGGGCTGTACTAGCTATGCAAGTGCTTTATCATAGGATTATGCTCTTGACCTTTAATACAGTTCTGTGTTACATGCTTTTGGTTAAGTCTTCAAATGTGTGCCTCCCCACCCCATGCAGATTGATTGATTGATTGATTGATTATTGATGGAGGCAAGGTAACTGCATAACCCTGGCTGTCTTGGAACTCACTGTAGATGAGTCTGGTCTCAAACTCAGAGAGATCTGCCTGCCTCTGCCTCCCCAGTGCACACCACCATACCCAGCAACTAGAAAAAAGGAAGCTTACTCTCCCCCAACCCCTTTTTAGGGGGCGGGGACATTGTATATATAGAACAAGCTGGCCTGAATAGACGAATAGACTCCTTCTGAGTTCTGGGATTAAAGGTGTGTGCCACCAGCCCAGCTGATTGCACCCTTTTTACCCCCTAAGCAAATCAACTTAGTTTTAGACAACTTACTGTTGATGTCTGAAATTTTTATCTTTGCATGATCTGATGAAACTTTCTTTTTTCCCCAAGCACGTTTGTGTGTCCTACAGAAATCGTTGCTTTCAGTGACAAAGCCAATGAATTTCATGATGTAAACTGTGAAGTAGTTGCAGTTTCAGTGGATTCCCACTTTAGCCATCTTGCCTGGATCAATACACCAAGGAAGGTAGGTTGGTTGATAAGTCACCTTTCCTTGGTTTTATTTCATTCATCTTTGGTTTCATTTCTAAATCATAAATAATATAGAACACGATGAGAAGCATTGCATATTTATGAGATGCAATGTGATGTTTTGATACATGTGTATATTGTGTAAGGATCAAATCAGACTTTTCAGTACTGTTTCCCCAATCATTTCTTTGTAGTTATGACATTCAAAGTCCTATTTTTAACTGGGCAGGTGGTTCATAACTTTAATCCCAGCACTCAGAAGGCAGAGGCAGGAGGATCTTTGTAAATTTTAAGCTAACATGGTCTATCTAGTGAGTTCCAGGGCAGCCAGAGCCATATGGTGAGAGACCCTGTCTCAAAAAAAGAAAACAAAAATCCTCTTTTAGTTAGTTTGAAAAATACAATATGTTCTACCTGTAGTCATCTATTGTACAGAAGAGCAAAACTTATTCTTCTTATCTAACTAATCATTGAGTAGTGTCTTTTCCTTATTCCCCAGCTACCTCTATCCATTGTACTAACAGAAGAGATTTAGGACAAAGCCTAGAGGTTGTCAAAGCATAGCCAGTCTGAAGTTAGTTTCTTGCCTCCTACCCCTCTTCTTTTCAAAACCAGTGTCTTATGTGTTTCAGGCTGGTCTGAATGTGTTAGCTCAGATGACCCTGAGCTTCTGATCCTGTAGTCTCCACCTTCTAAGTGCTAGGATCAGAACCTGGTTTATGCCTTCCTGGGGATCGAATCCAGGGCTTCATGCACACTAGATAAGCTCTGTACCAAGTGAGCCATGTCCTCCTGAGGTAGGCCGTTTGTAGATCCTTGCCTATCAGCAGTCTGTAAATAATGGTAATGACAATTCCCTGGACATATTTTCCAAGGTTCAAATAGTAATGGAGACAGGCTCAGTGGGACAGGGGACATGGCTAGGATCACTTGCTTCCTCTTAGGCCAGTACTTTGAACCAGTAGTAGCTAGCTATACTATTCTTTGTGATGTTGTCTAGAAATATGGTAGGAAAAACAATCACAATTTCATTAGGTATGGCCCAGGACTAACAATAATGACCTGAGTGAATTGTTACGCCTTTATTAATTATATTTGAGAAATTAGTTTTCATCTCAACATCTGCTTTAACAATTGGAAAAAGAGAGCAGGGTGTGTTCAGAGCTTTTTCTTAATATGCAAGAAGCCTTGGGTTCATTCCCCAGTACCATATAAACTGGGTGGGTTAGCACAGCTTGTGATCTCAGTGGGAGGCAAGAAGATCCAAAATTCAATGTCATCATTGGCTGCATAGTAAACTGGAGGCCAGTCTGGCTGCATGAGAGACCTTGTCTCAAAAAGATAAAGGAAGGTCAGTCAGACTCTAATGTCCTGAAGAAAAAAGTACTTAGTTTTTTTTGAGCTTTGGTTTCCTCGTCTTTAAAATAATGGAAAAATGGGCCATTGAGGTGGCTCATCAGGTAAAGTACTTGCTGAGCAAACCTTACAACCTGAATTCTATCACTGGAGCCACAAAGTTGTCCTCTCATCTTCACATATGTGCACACATACACACCCCCACACACACACACACACAACGTCAATTTATAAAAGAAAATAGGGACTGGAGAGATGGCTCATCAGTTAAGAGCACTGTTCTTCAAGAGGATCCAGGTTCAGTTCCCAGCATCCACATGGGAGCTCACAACTGCTTTAACTAAACATAATGCCAGATATAACTGTATCTACTTTAGGCAGGTTGCAGGAGGGAAGTTAAACAGAACTCCCTTGTGTGAGTTTACTATTATTTACTACCATTGTTGTTAATTTTAAACATTGCTACATGGTTCAGACCTTTTCCAACCACCTGAGAAAACCGGTCCTGTTTGCCTTTTTATTAGAATGGTGGCTTGGGCCACATGAACATCACGCTGTTGTCAGATTTAACTAAGCAAATATCCAGAGACTACGGAGTGCTGTTGGAAGGTGCTGGCATTGCACTCAGGTAAGAGCTGTTCCTTAGAGATGGGAATGAATTACATTCATTGTCACACCACAGATCTTCTAAGTTTAGGGCTAACAGTAGAGAAAGCTGAGTCTAGCTGATAAGTTAGTCTTCTCTCTAGACCCCAGAGTCTGTGGGCCTTTCTCCTTCCTGGGTCTGCCTTGCTTCTCTCTAGAGACTACAGCTGGCTTCCTCGGAGATCAGTCACAAAGCTTAGGCAGAAGCCCCTCTGTACTTTGCCTTTCCCTATATGGTTGACACTTGAAGTCCTTCTTTTAAGAAGCAGATCTCTGTGAGTTCCAGGCAGCCTGGTCTTAATAGAGAATGGGTAAAAAAATTAAAAGGAATTGTGAGGTGCTAGAAAGATGACTCAGTAGTTATGGATACTCACTACTACTGCACAGGACAGAGTTTGATTTTCAGGGCCCACATTGTGCTGCTTACAGCCACCTGTAACTCCTGCTCCAGGGAATCCATCACCTTCTGGACTTCATAGGTATTTTCATATGTGTGCGGTGGCACACACATACAAATAAATAAATAAATTGGAAAGTTTTAAATATTCACTGGATGGAAGCAACGTAATCTCTTCCCCTTCATATATGTAGTTACTTTACCAGAGTCTGATACAGGAGTCTAAAGAATGTCTGCTAGGTCACTAAGGAAAGAAAAGTTCTTTACTGTTTCTGGTTCTTTCCTTTTAGATAGATCCCATTAGGGGTACAGTTTTGCATTGTCCCCATAATGCATGCTTTACATGGTGGCCTGGTGTTATCAAAGCATCTGTCGTTACTAAAAAGTGAAAAACTTTGTATAATACTAATTCCAGGTTGGTTTTCTTTTTTTTTTTTTTTTTCTTTTCTTTCTTTCTTTTAAGATTTGATTATTTATACAGTGTTCTGTCTGCATGTGTCCCTGCAGGCCAGACAGGGGCACCAGATCTCATTACAAATAGTTGCAAGCCATTATGTGGTTGCTGGGAACTGAACTCGGGATCTCTGGAAGACCAGCTAGTGTTCTTAACAACTGAGCCATCTCTCCAGCCCCAAGATTTAATTTTAGTCAAGTGTGTGTAACTATGTGGAAGTATGTGCATGCAAATAGACTTGCTCTTTGAGGCCATAAGAAGCTGTCAGGGCCCCTGGAGCAGGAGTTACAGGCAGTTTTGAACTCAGGTCCTCTGGATAGATAGTACAAGCTATTAATTGCTGAGCAGTCTCTTCATTCCCTAAAATTCCCATTTTTAAGCATTTGACAGCTTAATGAATTTACTAAAAGAGAATCAAAGATATAAAAGGATAGAAATGAGAGCTGTTGGCTTTAGTCTTATTAACACTAATGAGGACAAATTCTGTGCAGAGGCCTCTTCATTATTGACCCTAATGGCGTCATCAAGCACCTGAGTGTCAATGACCTCCCAGTGGGACGCAGCGTGGAAGAAACCCTCCGTTTGGTGAAGGCATTCCAGTTTGTAGAGAGCCACGGAGAAGTCTGCCCTGCCAACTGGACACCAGAGTCCCCTACGGTATGTTATTTTCCTCAAAGCATCAGGCCCCAATTCCAAGTCTTCTCTGCCTCAAGGATAATCTGCCCAGAGAGCCTACAGAGGTGCTGGCTGAGTATGGGTGGAAAAAAAATAGGCTAACCTCTAAAAGTGAAGAAATTTTAATTTAAAACTGGAGCTCTGAGCTCATTGTTGAGACTACTATCATGAAGTCTCTCTAACCTAATTTAATTATAATTTTCAGATCAAGCCAAGTCCAGCAGCTTCCAAAGAATACTTTGAGAAGGTCCATCAGTAGGTCATCCCATGGCTGGTGTTCACGCAAAGCTTCTCATGCCAGAAAAGAGCCACAGCTGGAATCCTTTCAGTGACCTGAAGATTATTTATAGATGGCAAATCGTCATCATGCTTCTGTTTATGAGTGCTGCCCCATGGGCTTTGTTTTGTAAAGCAGGCTCGGGCTCTCTAAAGATGGGTAGCTGCTTCCATAGCTATCCTTACTAGGCACTTGTTGATGGCTAACCGATTCCCCCATTTCTTAGATCATGTCTTCAAAGGATTAGCATTCTTCTCCTTAGCCTGCTCTGAACATCGGTTTACAATGCAGTAGCACATAACACCGGCACTGAAAGCTTCTGATCAAAGTCTTGAAATTTCCTCTTGATTTTTTTTGTGAATTAAATTGAATTTCCCCATTATTTTTCTTATTGTATTCCTTAACTTATAGTGTCCATAGATATTGATGAGGTATAATCATGAAGGATTGTGTCTAATCCAATGGTTATATTTTTAAAACCATAATCATTTTCTTCAAGTGCTGGATGTAAAGTATAGTATAAAAATAAATATTTGCATTTTTGACATCATTAACTGTTGGGTCAATTTATTCTGGGGCACCCCTCATCCTTTGATGACTTAGGGCAACAAATATTTGTTTACTGGGCTAACCCTGAAGCCATGCAGGATAATTGTTGTGAGATAGTTACTTGGTCTCCTTCTGTGGCACTGACCACGCCCATTGGGGGTGGAGCCATGGGCGGAAATGACCTGTGGAAGGAGGTCTGAGAAAGAACCAGGAACGCTCTCTTGGTTGCGGAACACTGTTGTTGCTCCTGCTGGAGTTCATTCTCGCCTCAGCTAATGGCCTGTTGGGCATAGAATTGCCCCCACCTTGACCACTGATTTGGACATGCAGTCCTATGTGTTTGCAGGAGACAAATATAGAAGACTGCTGGACCTTGCCAAGTCAGGGTAAGACAGCCATTCTACCTCTCTGCTGTTGTTGTGGTCTGTCAAGTTCTCTTGGCCTTAGCCAAATCTGGGTGTACCAACGTCGCTGTGAGACCTAGGGTGACTGTCCAAGTGGCTTGCACCTTTTGGAAGTTGCCCATCCGCCCTTCCTGTCTACCCTAGTATCATTATTTTCCTTCTCAGGTCTTGATGAAGTTGAAGATTAAACTATCACAGCTATTAATCTCTCTTCCTAGTTAAATATATTAGGTACTAGATTTAACGTTTTCCAGCTTAGGACAACTCTATTGTAAACTCCGTTATGCCTTCACCCTAGGACTAGATATGTAGGTCATTTTGTTCTCAATTTTCCTTTTCTTAGAGCACACTTGTTATTCACTGTTTTGTATATAGTTTTGTATTAAGCCTAAGTCTTTTCTTTAGATTAAAAGGGGAATTGTAGTGAGATAGTTACTTGGTCTCCTTCTGTGGCACTGACCACGCCCATTGGGGTGGAGCCATGGGTGGAAGTGACCTGTGGAAGGAGGTCTGAGAAAGAACCAGGAACGCTCTCTTGCTGGCGTGACTCGGACAGGAGAGGATCGGGTTGAATTTCCTGGTGTTCATCTGTCTAGGTTGTAAGTTATTTCTCCCTGAATAAACATCTATTCGGCCTATTTGTTTATCCTGATCCTTATTTAACCGCAATAGATAATGCTGGCTCCACTTTCAGGAAACTAAAATTTAGCAGGCAAGACTGATAACTAAACTTTCATCCATCATTTTAGTAGCTCCTGGAATGCCAGACATGTGCCAGGTTGGCCTTTGGAGGCACTGGAGTGAATTAAAAACACCCTCATCTTCATACTTATGATTCTAAAGGAGAATCCCAATAATAAACAGTAGAAATCAGGTAGTGTCAGGGTTGGAGGAGAGTTCTGAGTGCAGTTTTCAGGAAAAGCCCTTAGGGAGAAGAGACTGGGACTGTTTTCTCATCTGTCAAATGAAGATACTATACCAATCTTGAGGTTTTTTTATGTGAGCCAAATGAGAGAAAATATGTAGAAAAGGGAGTTAGCAAGTGTCTTAGTGACTTTTCTGTTGCTGTGACAAAACATATGACCAAGACAACTTATAAAAGAATTTAGTTTGAGGCTCATGGTTCCATAGGATTAGTGTATGACCTGCATAGCAGCAGGCAGTTACAGCACTGGGATAGAGCTGAAAGCTTACATCTGATCCACACACAAGCCATAGAAATCTAACTGGGAATGGTGTAGGCTGTTGGAACCTCAAAGCCCACCCCTGGGGCCTCCAACAAGGCCACACCTCCACTCTTCCAAACAAACAGTTCTAGCGACTGGGGACCGGGCATCCAAATATATGAGCTGATGGGAGTCATTCTCATTCAAACCACGTTTCATACTTTCTGCCTCCTATAGGCATGTGCCCATATAATGCAAAGTGCATTTAGTCCGAATTAAAGTCCCTGTAGTCTTTCAGTCTCAATAGTTTCATTTGAGACTGTAGGGTAAAAGGGCCAGCCAATTGAAACCAGAGCCAGTGAAAGAAATGCTTTAGCCCTGAACCCAGGACAAACGAAATGCACCCTAACTCAGAAACCAGAGCCAAAGAAACACACTTTGACCCTAGAATCAGAGCCAGTGAAATAAATATATCTTTAACCTTGAAAATAGAGCCAAAAGGTTAAAAAAGGCCAGTGAAAGAAACAGTTTGGACCAGAAAACAGAACCATTTCTGTCCTTCACCAACTAAACCAATCCCTGAGCAAAAAAACTAACCAATCCCTGAGCAAAACATCTACCTGGGAAAAACTCTGCCCCTAAGAAGCCTCTGCATGTTCAGTTGCTAGCTGTCCTTTCCCACCCTGGCAGAGACAGCCACTCTTCTGGATGACTCCTCCCCAAATAAATAATCTTTGCTGAGACATTCCCTTAGAGGGGCTGAGCACAAAACAAAACAAAAATCTTAAAAAAAAAAAAAAGAAAGAAAGAAAGAAAGAAAGAAAGAAAAAGAAAGAAAAAAAAAGAAAAAGGTTCCCTTACAGAAAGATTGAGCAGAAGAAGAAAAAAAGAAAAAAAAAAAGAAGAAGAAGAAACAGTTGTGTCTGCTCGGAAACACTAATAGTAGAGCAGGAAAGTAACTTTTCACCAGAGCCCAAGGAGATTTCTACATTTCTGAAGGGGATTCCCCTTTAGCAAAGTGAAGCAGAAGAAGTAACATTGGGCTGCATAAGAAAGGAAGGAGGGAGGGAGAGGGAACTGGGATCAACATGTAAAATAATAAATTAAAAAAAATGCTTTGACTCTAAAATTTAAGTTGAAGGACAAGTTACTGGGGAAAAAGATTTCTATTTTTGTTTCCACAGAAAATGAAAAGATGTGGATTCCTTCCAGACTAACGTGGCTTGATCACGCCAGACCGCCTGAAACAAAGTACAAGCTGATCCTACATTCAGAACAGCTGGACAAAGCAGCCTTACAGACTACAGCCAGGATTTCTGAATCTTCTTCAAATCCCCCATGACAGCGCCCCTTACCAGCAGGAAGTAGTTTGGAAAGAACAATGCCCAAATTCCCAAATGTTGTGTATAAATGTTTGTTTTCATTTAATTGGACTTTGTTATATAAAATAAAAAAGAAAGAAATGAGTAGCTCTGCTAGGCCATTCCCTTAGGGGAACTGAGCAGAGCTCAGCTGCAAAGGCTCCCTCTAGGAAAGGAGCAGGGTTGCTACATCCTACATTATCCCAGCTTAAGGTTTAACCTGACTTCCAAACTAGTCAGGATACCTTTCCCTCCAGAGCTGTCCCTTTGCAGGTCCAGATATAGACTAACTTCCTGATAGGTCAGGATACCTGCAGGTCCAGATATAGACTAACTTCCTGACAAGTCAGGATACCTTTCCCTCCAGAGCTGTCCCTTTGCAGGTCCAGATATAGACTAACTTCCTGATAGATCAGGATACCTGCAGGTCCAGATATAGACTAACTTCCCAACAAGTCAGGATACCTTTCCCTCCAGAGCTGACCCTTTACAGGTCCAGATACAGACTAACTTCCTGATAGGTCAGGATACCTGCAGGTCCAGATACAGACTAACTTCCTGATAGGTTAGGATTCCTTTCCCTCCAGAGATGTAACACTCACTTGCAGACACTGAAGTCAATGTCTTAATTGTAACCTCTGTAAAATGAAAAAAGCAAATTACATAACATCAACATACAATGGCATAAAATACACATTACTATAACAAAAAGAAAACACTGGAAAAAACCTCATCAGGGCAAACTCCAAATCCTGTAGTTCCAGGTCTGAGGTCAAAGGGCTTATTTAGTTTGAGTCTCTCATTTCTTTCTGCATTGTTGATTCCTTTCTGCATTGTTGACTGCAGCACAGTTCATTTCCCTTTGCTCTCTGCAGCTCTGCCTGATAGATGTCTGCAACAACCTAAGTTCTCCAACAAAACAAGGCTTGACTTTCGTAGCTTTACACAGTGACCTCTCTGGGCTTCCATGCAGGGATTCTACTGCAGGTTTCCTGAACTTGGATGGAAGAGTCCATGGGCCCCTTTACTCCTGTATCCTTCATGATTCTAAAGCCAAACCTGGGGCAAATGCTGCCAAGTTTGGCTGCTCACTTGCTTCTTTCTTTGAATTAAATTTGCAGAAGATTCGATGTGCTTTTTAGGAACAGGCCTAATCCCTTAGACATTTTTTTAACAAATTGCTGGATTAGCTGGCTAGGGTCTTGCCCTGAGGGCATCACTCCCTCACTTTATTCCATTTCTTTTTGTCTCCTTCAGCACAACCATGGCACCAGCATTAAATTTCCTGGTGCACTTTTTCTTCTCAAACTGTACGTTTTGTGTTTCTTTTTGTCCCACTTGCTCTTTTCATTGTAGACCACTAGCCAGGTGGGGGTGATGAATTCCTTTAATCCCAGCACTTGGGAGGCAGAGGCAGGTGGATCTCTTGTGTTCAAGGCCAGCCTGGTCCAAGGAGCAAATTCCAGGACAGCCAGGACTGCACAGAGAAGAAACCCTGTCTTGAAACACACACACACACAAAGTAGTCACTAATAATAATGCAATTATTAGGCTCTCTTGAAATCTATGTCAAAAGGCCACTATATTCTTTGCCAGAGTATCAAAGAGTGATCACTAGCCCAGTTGCTAATATCATTCCCCTCTGAAACCTGGGCCTCTATAATGCACATTGCTCTCTGCACTTTAGTCTTCCAAGCTCCTACTAGAATGGTGAGTTGAGTCCAGTTTACAGTGTTCAGCCATCCAAGTCCTGAGGTCTTCCACATTACCCGAAAACAACGGTCAGGCCTGTCAGAGCAAATTAGCCCACTCCCTAGTATCAGTGTTGTATAAGCTGAGGGTATGACTGCTCCAAGGTATGGTTTTTATTGCACGTATGAGGGTGAGTACAGCCAGAGGCATCTGGAAGAGTCCAGAACGGGAAAAAAAGTGGTAGATTTAACATGGCCAGCAGACTGCAGTAGGGCAGAGTGTGTGTGTGGGGGGGGGGGAGCAAGAGCAAGGGGCCCAAGAGAGGAAGACAAAAGAGAGAGTGGAAATAATAGGGGTATAAGTGATAATCT